CTTATGGGCTATCTCCATTTTAAAGTTAACCATTACATAACTCTGCTCCAGCGTAATCCGAAAATAAAACACTAGCACATTTTGTAAAAATCATTCCACCATTCGCATCAAAAGTCCAGTTAACTGGATTAGTAGGCCTAGTAATCCAGTTCTCGTCAGAAACTATTGATTTGTCGATCTAACCTAATTTATTGCAGTGACATAATTTTGAGTTATAAATCACAATTTTACTATCTAAATCCTACAATATCTGCGGATACTCATCCTTGAAACTTGCACATTGGAGGGCTCTTGATTATGATCAGGGAACATTGAAATTACACTGTTCCGATTATGATTATTATCGAAGAACTGTTGGGTTACACCTCGGTGAAAATGACCGGAAGGTGTAGGCAGCCACTCTGTTATTATGACGCCCACTGTTGGACCTGTTAACGGTTATGGATTCCTGTTTTCTGTTATTGTTGCTTTTTGCTAAATTTGATTTACGTTTATCATTCAGATGGTTCTCCTATTTCAAAAGTTCATTTATTAGATTCTTGTTTGAAGACTTTCATCCATAATTTTAGGCTTGTTCAATTATACATTCTTTGATGAGATGCGATGAATAAAGATTCAGAAAAAAACAAACCAAAACATTGTCTACTTTTCCTGCAGTAGCAGAAAAAGCCATTGTTTTAGTTCTGATATATCGTCTTCTTCTCGTTTTCCTGGTTTGCTCAGGGGTTCTAACCGGAATTTCAGATTCAAGTTTATTCGTCCAATATGGAAATAGCACATTTTCAAGCCATAACATTAATTATAAAGATAACAAACAAAAACACATTGGTGCCATATAAGTACGTTGAGTGGAGTTGAATAGCTTGGTGGTAAGATGTTTCTTGCCCAATCCTAGGGTCCTCGGTTTAATTCCTGTAACGTTAAAAGAATTTTTGGGTCTCCTTAAGGCGGACCATACCCCCAGAACCTCACTGCTGTTCTTCTTGAACGGTCGTTACAGTATTACCAAACTTTAAAAGCGTCCAGCGTCGCCAGCTTTCAACGGACATGCAGGAAATTTTGTACACATAAATTAGAGGTTATTTCCAACAAATTTCATGGTCCTTGTTTAAGTTTGACCCCAGAGTTCCCAGTTACCTATACAAAACTGGGGTTTCAGCAATGACTGTACATTACTGCCATTACCAAAAAATAGGGCACTAAAGAACCAAAAGTCGTAAGTTTTAATCGCGTCTTGGTATTCCAATTTTTTTTCCCAATTTTTGGCTTTTTAATTTTTTACACTTTTTTTACACTAATTTTTCTACACTCAAATAAAAATAATAATTTATAGAAAAAAAAAAAAAAAAACCCCACCGGGGCGCCGGGGCGCAATTCAAACTCATGACCTTCGGTATCTTACAACACTGCGTTAAGCGACTGCACCATTTTATGCGACGTGCCCCGTTAGTGGTAGTATAATTAATGGCAATTATGAACCCTTGAAGAAAACCCAATGTACGCCACTGTGTACCGTATTTAAGCATGGAGGGTATTTCCTCCATGATTTAAGCCTGTTTTAATAGTGTTAACAAAAAGCCTCATCTGAAAGGTGCATACCCGAAGCGTGAAACGCTGAAAAGAGGTAATCTCAGTTTAACGCGCGGACCGGTAAGCGTTCGCTCTCGTTCTCACGACCAAAATAACTCCACTCACTCCTCAAAATGAGATTCAGTTTATGTAGAGCATCTTGTGTTTATGTTTGTCTTGTGAAGGGATATGCCACTTCAAATAGTGATTAAGTTCTCTAATACCATATCTAGATAATGTAAAATAAAAATATAGATAAAATAATTAAATAACTCTATTTGAAATCACATTAGTGGTAGCCGTGTTAGTCTTAAGAAAAATTAGACAAGTTATGAAGAGGCAGCACTCTTGATCAGACTAAATTTAAAGATGTAATTTTATTAGACACGAGCTTAACAAATTTTAAAATAGCTGTGGTTCTCTCTAATTGTTTTAAAAACAGAACAGATAGATTGATTGCTGAACAAACTTTCATTAAGAAATTTGATAGCATTAGTAGTGGCCTTAATATTGACCTAGGCTCTCTTAGTCATTACAAAATGTAATGATTATTTTTGTCCATCATTATTAGGTCCATGATCATACCATTGCTTGTTGATTCTTTAGTGAGATTGTGTATCTATTGTTTGCGCTACTCAATTACAGCACTCATTAGCAAATTCATGATAAGCCTAATTAGTTATGCATAAGTTAATTCCTCTCTGTTCATGTTGCACTTCACACACCTGATGAAGCTGGCATTGACTGCCAGCGAAAGCTCCTGTCTAATAAAAATAAAATTACATCTTTAAAGTTAGTCTGAGAGTGCTGCCTCTTCATTACTTGTTTAATACAATATGTAGTTATACTTAAAAATCCATCACTCCTAAACATAAAAAAAACCAATATAATAAAGTTAAACGAAATCATAAAACTTTCCGTACACCATGTGTGAAGAATACTGTATATGGTTTTGAGATAAAAAGTACTGGCTGATTGTCTCATAAAACTTTCCATACACCATGTAAAGAATATATGGTTTTTAAAGTAAAAATTACTGGTTGATTTTGCTGTGCATTGTGGTTTACTTCGTTGCGCATTTTGCTTATGTCCTTGAGGAAGACACTTTGTCTGCATTGCCCTCCTCGACCCGGGAGTATAAATGTGTAGCTGGTGGGGTTGCCTGCTCCTGTGCTGATTACCAGCAGCAACACTTAGCATGTGGATCCAATGACCAGGAAAAAGAAATGTGCCTTATAACCCACAAGGAAGAGGTACATTATAAAGGCCCATACCAGTACCAGTTGATTGTCTCAAAGCTTTCCGTACACCATGTGAACAATATATGGTTTTTGAGTTAAGAAGTACTGGTTGATTGTCTCTCATAAAACTTTCTGTACAGGTGTAACTGCATACCAATATATATATTATAAGACGTGGTTAAAATGGTTTTGATCACACTGATGATGTCGTTGCGAGTCACGACGAAACATGTTTGTGAAATTAAAGAGCGCTGTTATTTTTATACACTGCCTTTTTTTTATTTTTTTGTTTGAAAGTTTGGTAATCTAATCAATAACTTGAATTTGATCAGTACGGTCACTAAGCAAGAATGCAGATGTGTAGAACGACTTAGCAAGAAGCTTGCAAAGGCAGACGCCTATATTAATTTCCTCAAAAATTGTAAAACGTTTGGCGTAATTCCAAAATTTAATATATATATATAT